ATTTACAACCAGGTTCTGCAAACAAGAACCCCAGACCTGGCTTCAGGGATTACCACATATTTGTTTGTTTTGCTACCATTTTAAAATTTCTTTTGCCTTTTCCCCAAAATTTATTTTTTTAATGACATAAACATCAGGCACTTCCTATTTATCATAATAATATTAATAAATTGTTTCTAAAAATAAACCCATGTTATACCCATGAAAAGGGCCATAGGTATAGTGTTTATAATAATTTATGGTTTGCCGGTGCTTGCGTTGCGTGCGTGCGTGTGTGTGTGTGTGTGTTGGTAGTGGTTGTGTGTATTGTGTTGTGTGTGGTATGTATGTAATGTATGTGGTGTGTGTGTGTGGTGTGTTGTGTGTGTGTGGTGTGTGGTCTGTGTGTTGTGGTGTGTGTGAGAGCCAGGCACGTGGGTGTGTAATAGAAGCCGAGACTGAGCCAGGAAGAAGGCAGCGCAGTTAATTGGGATGTTAGGAAGTGTTGATGGGAACTTGACTGGGCTGTTTAACAACTTATCAAGCAACCCCCAGTGAAGGGGCCGGTTTGTATTGGTTTGCTTGTTTATTACGGTTTACACCCATTCCCAGTTCCACCCCAATGAACTAACACCCTTTAACCACCCTCCCTTCTATCTCCCCTTTTCCCCTCTTTCTCTCTTTTTTTCCACTTCACCTTTCAATTAATCAGGAAGTCCCCGGATTATTGGGTGTCCTCAGGAATTTCCCATGGGGAAAACGGGGATGGATTTTGTCTTCTCAGGAAATATGTCCCCAACTGTTTTCCCAGGGGATCCCTAGGGCTGACTGCTTTCTCGAGAGGTAAACGGCACAAAACCCCACTTATTTGCCAACCTATAGAATGGGAGGACAAAACCATAGTTTAATTGCCCCAACAGGCCTGGACCACGCATGGGGGCCTAAAAGATTTGGCTTCTGATCCCCTTATTTGCACCTTCAAACAATTGTCAGGAAGGTAGTTTGGGACTGTGGCTTGGCTTTGCATTTCAAATATAAAAAAACCACTGAAACCAAGGCAAAAATTCTAGTTTCATGTGTGAGGGTGCTGCCTGAACCACTTCGGTCCCACCAGGCGGGACCGGGAACCGGGTACATTCCCCATCGACCTAATTTACTTGGGGGGGAAAAATTTTAACCTAAATTCCCCCACCGCCGATTTCTGCGGGGACGGGTCCAATATTATTGATGTATTTGCTTTTTTCCCTGTTCTGACCATTGTTAATTTGGGGGCTTTCCTTGTGGGATAAAAAAGGCGCCACTTAGTATTTATTTTCCTTTTGCTGTTTTATTGGGAAAAACGTCAGGAATTCTTGTATTAACCTAACCGGGTCCCATGGACAGCAGGATGTTTGGCACCCAAAAAGCCGGGGTTGGGCCCATGGACGTAGAGGAATGGCCCGGATTGGGGTTTGGCTCTCGTCTATAGAGAGGCCATGGGGGACTGTTGGGGAGGGGAGTCATGTTCCTCTGACTGATTGAAAGTAAGGATCTGGTATTTGGACGGTGCTTCCCTTCCTTGGAAGGCCGCCCCTGGGGCCCGGTGCTTCTGCAAGGTGGGGAAACGGGCCCCAGTATTTTCGCGGGGGACCGTTTGGCCCAGTGCTACAGCGGGCTGGAAAGGCCCACTTTGAGTGTGATGTGGGCCGGTCAAACCAGTGGCATCGACCCATTCCCCACTGTGGAGGCCCAACGGCCATTTTCTTGGCATTCGTGGGAGCCTGGGATTCTGCCAAAAACCCAACCGGCCTTATAGGCTGGGATAACTGTTGAGGAAGGTTTAAGAGGTAAAGGAACAGATGTGGTGAAGATGATAAACACCCTTCTAAACCAAACTGCCTCCTGCATTCCATTTGTTACCATTTTTGTACCTCCCAAAAACTTAATATTTCCGGCAAATTTTTCCCCCAAATTTGTGTTGTGTTGTTTCATTGGCTTTTATAAAATAAATTGGACATAATTTGCCCTAAGTTTTAACCAGATTGAATGGGAGAAGCCCGCCACTGGTTATGTATTTTCAATGTGGTGGAAATAGGCCTTGGGAATCCCCCACAAAAAAACGCTTTTCAAAAAGGAAGCCAAAACATGAAAAGACTTAAAAAAAAAAAGCTATTTGCAGGATCAAGAGAGGGGATCAACCTTTTCAGGGGAAACAGTAAGTGTGAAATTTAGATTTCCCTTGGTTAAAAACTGCCACTAAGTTTGAATTTGGTGTGAAGGGAAAAAAGACAATATGGATTTCCAAGTAAAAAGGAACATTTGAGGACAACTGTTCCAACCAGAAAAGCAGGGGTGAGTCCTACCTGCTAAATACAAAAACCCAGGCACCCACCCCCAGCTGGAGGAAGGTTAGGAATAAAGAACAGATATGTGTGGAAGCAGAATGGTTAAATACCCATTTTTACCCCCACTGCTCCTGCCATGTTTTTTTTTACATTTCATGGGTGTTGGAAAATGGGACAAAAAAACCGTCACTTCATTGGGGGCATTTTTCGTGTTATAGTTCACGACCAAATTTTGAATCAATGAATTTTTGGTTCATCCAGACCACGATTTTCCCCTTTTTTTTTTCGGTTGTCACCCACAGGAACGATTTAAAAAAGCGAAATTTTTGCTATTTTCTATTGGGTAGTTTATGGTTCGTTGCCTTGCAGCCACGGTTTCTTCATGTCCTTCGGGTCTTGGGAGACCCCGGGAAAGGCTTGACCCGTTTGTGGTTCATAAAAACCAATGTTTTTTACTTTTTAATATCAAAGCCCCACGATTTTATTGTTTTTATTTTAAATCGGTATGTATTAATGTCCGACTTTTTTTTTGTCGTTTTCTGTGAGGAAAGAAAAATGTCAAGGAGCCTTCAAATAACTGAAATCTGTATTTTTTAAAATCTTTTTTTTTTCTTCTAATTGGTTATATTTTTCTAATAACACCCTGTTATTTTTATCCCACCCCATAACACACAATTATGCCCTTGTTTTTTTATTGGTTTAAATTCCCCATATAATCTTTTGCTTTTTTGGCGGGTCCGGTTTCAGGGAAAAACTGCATTTCAAAAAATAAACAAAAATAACCGGAAAAGGCGTAGGGGCCCCTATAAGGGGGACATTTCGAGCGATTTCATTGCGATACACAGGGGCCCAACTTGGAAAACTGAATTTACCCCAAAGATCCCTTTTCAGCTTGGTTAAGTTCGCTGGGAATTGGGATGTTTACCGCAAATCGTATTGAGGGCGTTTCCGATTTGCCATATTCCAAAATCCCGCGGAAAAACCATTTTTAAAAAAATTAATTACCTTTATTCCGGAAGTGTTTGCTTTTTTCTCTTTTGAAAAAGGGGTTCATCACATTTTAACGGGCATTGTAATACACGGTTCAGGGCTGCCATCATAATATTACAGATCATTGGGCAGTAAGGTTTCTTTATTTATAGGAGGCACCTGATGAGGGAAGGGGGACCTTTTACCAAAAAAACTGGGGGAAGAAATGCAGCCGGAACTGATTACCTTGACGTGGGATGTGGGGATTCCATAAAAATATATCAAACTTAAAACCCAAAACATCTTTTTCATTCTCCTCTTCCTTTGCAAGTATCCAAACAACTTATTCGGCCTTTGGACTTTTTTTTCATTTGATTTTCTAATTCATTCGTAGGGTTATATTTAACACCATTAACGGTGGGGCCACAGGCTTGATTATTAAAAAGGACTTGTAGTTTTAAAAGATATTTTACTTGATTTTCTTTGGATAAGAATGTTTAATACTGGTTTCTTGGAAAAAATATATAACCCGGTGCCACAGTATATAGGCTTGTAGTTCTTAAAGATATTACATTTTCTGTGAATCAATAAGTTCATGAGTCTGAAATCTATACCGCAAACTGTAAACTTATGTGAACAGAACATCATCTTCAGATGTTGTTACATACTAAGTGTCCACACCTAATGATATAACAAAGTTTATTATGGGCTGTGTGTACCCTTGTTTGTGCCACCGGGCTCTAGTGGTTAGAAGACACGTTATTGAAATTATTGTTTTTATGTGTTATAATTTTATGAAAAAGTATTAAGAGTACGATACTTCCTAGGGGGAAACGTAGAAGGTCAAATGATAGAAATATAGAATTACAACAATCCACCAGGATAGTATAAGTGATCTCTTACCAATAAAAAAGGTTTAGTGCAGGATGTGCAAAGATCTTAAATAGGCAGGATGTGCCAAAACAGACAAAATAATTAAACCTTAATTCAAACATCTAAATAATACTTTAGATTAAGGGTCTTCTTTTAATAAGAAAAAAAGCTTTGGGGTATTCCAACAGATAAATATTAAGCCTGACAAATACTTTACTTACGGTCTAATATATGCTTGCTTGCTGCAATGTTTAAACTACGTTGAAGCAACTTATTTTAAAACTTGATATTATAACACATACTGGCCAAACCCTCCCGATTTTGGGCGGAGAGACTTTTTTCCCGATTTCATAGCCCTCTCCCGGTTTCCTTTTCCCCGGGGTCATATTTCTTCCCGGCATTTCTTTTTCCCGAATTTCTGACAAAATTTCAGATTTTTATTTCACGACCTGTTTTCTCCCACTCGGAACTTTTTAATACAGCTACAACCCATTGTTTGGTTTCCATGGGTAGCGCGTCTCCTTTGGTAGCGGGCGGTTCTCTTTAGTAGCGCGCGCAACTGAAAGTCCTAAAGGAGGTGAGGGGCAGATAGTCCCCACAGAAAACAGAACAAGAATCGACAACTTGGAACCTCTGCTCAACTCTTTTCCACACATAATGCTCCATCAAGGATGGTTCTTCAGGCCGCAAAGGCCAGCTGCCACTTACAACTACCAATAAAGCATGTTAATGTTGATCCTAACAGGCCTCCGGGCGATCCACCTAGCACCCCCCACCCCACCGCATTAAGTAATGCACTGTTGAGAGAACCCCCCCTCAGCCTGCGAAAAACCCCAAGTTTTTCATTCATTTGCATAAATTAACCACTGTAGTTGTTGTGTATTATGATATGCAATTAAACCCACTCTTTAATCTTGAAATCTTGAAAGGGATGTGGGCAAAATAGCAATAATATACAGGGTCTTTAATTTAAACTATTTAGTAGAGAAATAAACGAGTAATTGAATAATATTACTTTTATTACTGTTTCCATTCAATGTCATTGCGGATAAAATGTTTTAGTTCTCTCTATAGCCCCAACTATCAAATATCTTTTCTCCTGATTGGTTGGCACTGCACAAATCCCCTTTGAACCCCCTGGAATTTGAACCTAGGGTGTAATAAAAGTTCTATTTTAAGGGTTGTTATATTTTCACATCATTAATCAGAATCTGGCAAAGTAACTCAAATAAATGTAAGTGGGAGTAAAAATACCAGGTTAAACCTTCTGTATTGTCCAGTGGAGTTGAATTACAAAGTACACAATGAGCTGTCACGTGGGTAATATAATTAATGCTGCGCCATTATGGACACAAAGCGATTTCACCCATTTATTAATTATATGTTTTAAGCATTGATAACACCCAATGTTGTTCAAATACCTGGCCAACTTCTAATTGTGGGAAAAAAACCGAACAAACATTTAGTAGGGACGACCCCATAAGAAACATAACATTTTGCGAACACAATAGCCAGCATGTGTTATTTTCTGGGGGGCGTTCCGATTCCAGTTTTGGATAGTCTGGCGGTGGGGTTTCGTTTCCATTTCAAACAGCTGTTTGGACGCTCGGCTGTACCCTTGGGCGGCAACTTGCCACTCCACATCATCCCCAGGGAGGGCTTGAAGATTATCAATCATGGCGCGCAGTAGTTCCTTAAACGAATAGCTGGGGATTATGGGTAGTGTAGTGTCCTTCGGCCATCCTAAACTCAAAAATGTTTTTTCTGATTTTGATATGACATCTAACACTATATCCCCTCACTGCATTGCGGCTAAAACATCAAACAGCGAGCTTAAACCATAGCCTGAGGCTCTTGTAATCAGTTCCGTGGGCTGTGTACCCGCAATGTGCTCGAAATGTCCCTTATATGGCCTACGTCTGTTTCCGCGTTATTTTTTATTTTGGAATTCAGTTCCTGACGCGCCAAAAAAGGCACCGACCTTATGGAATTAAACAATAAATAAAACACAAGGATAATTGTGTGTTATCTTGGTGAGTAAATAACCAGTGTGTAATTTAGAAAATAATAATAATACCATAAAAGAAAAATATTTTAAAAAATACAGAATTTCAAGTATTCTGAGGCTCTGAGCGCCCATTTATTTTCCTCGCAGACGACAAAAAAAGTCCGACATTATATGATTTAAAATAAAAACAATAGATCATGGCTTGATATTGAGTAAGAACATGTTTTTTATGAACCCACAGCTTCCGGTCTCTCAAGACCCGGAACGGACAAAAAGACCGTGACTGCAGACACGAATACCTACCCTAATAGAAATACATTGTTTTTATAATCCTGTCTGTGTGACCGAAGAAAAAGGGAAAATCGTGCTATGAACAAGAATCAATAGATTACATGTCGTGACTATAGCAATGAATGCTGTGAGACTTGAAAGTGGTTAACGACCTGACTACATGACCAATGATCACCATAAATATATTTAGCATACATTTATTGCTAAAATGTAAATAGCAAGCATCCATGCAATTGATAGCTTGGAATAATAGTTTCATGATGCTACTTGCAGAGGGTTAAACAATTTTTTAAACCATAATATTGGTTCTTTACAACCGTACAGGACTCTAAATGAATGTCATGCACTGGATGGATAATTCCACTGTTTAGTTGGTAAATGTTAGTAGTTTTTGTGCAGATGTTGAGAGGACACAGGGTTTGGGATCTGGCCTTGCTTCAGCTTCAAGTACACATTACTCAACAGCTATTTTCTGTCACAGGCTTTGTGCCAAAATACCCACACTTTGTAAGTTGTCGTGGTGTTTGGATGTCACATATTTGCTGTACTGTTTATCAGGAACGTTTTCCACAATCTGGGTGAATAAATAATGATGTGTAATGCCTGAAGGAAAAACTGGAGGTTTTTGTGAATCCCCTCATGTTATTAAACTCTGGACATGTACTGTCCTCAGGTCCATGTACTGTGCCTCAGGTTCCAGTGTACTGTACTGTCCTCAGGTCCATGTATTGTACTGTCCACAGGTCCATGTACTGTGTACTGTTCTCAGGTCCATGTACTGTACTGGTCCTCAAGGTCCATATACTGTCCTCAGGTCCATGTACTGTACTGTCCTCAGGTCCAATATACTGTCCTCAGGTCCATGTACTGTACTCACCACAGGTCCTATGACTGTCCTCAGGTACATGTACTGTACTCACCACCAGGTCCATGTACTGCAGGTTGAAGTCATTTTATAAAGTTTACAAGCAATAAATCACTGACCTGCAGGACGTATCTGCTGAAACCAACCCTAGCTACTGACAGCTAATTTTGTTTAGACAGCATTACCACACATTCAAGTGTTTTACAAAGGTATGCACATGCTGTGTACACACACACCACACACACACACACACACACACACACACAACACACACACACACACACAACACACACACACCACAACACACACACACACACACACACACACACACATACAGACAAACACATAATATCACAGGGGACAGTAACCAGATTAGTTTAAGATTAGTTAAATCCTCGATCACACTAATTCCTTTGTGGAGTGCGTATTAAAGACAATGTGTGTGTGTGGGAGGCGTGGTGGGAGGCCGTGTGGTGCAGTGGGTTGTTCGTTGGTGTTTGGGATCAGGGCGGGGTCACAAGTTAAAAGTGTCTAACAAGTGGTGTGTGTTGTGTGTACGTGTGTGTGTACGTGTGTGTGTACACGTGTGGTGTGTGTGTGTGTGTGTGTGTGTGTGTGTGTGTGTGTGTGTGTGTGTGTGTGTGTGTGTGTGTGTGTGTGCTGTGTGTGTGTGTGTGTGTGTGTGGTGTGTGTGTGTGAGTGAGTGAGGTGAGTGAGTGAGTGAGTGAGTGAGTGAGTGAGTGAGTGGTGACGTGAGTGAGTGAGTGATGTGAGTGAGTGTGTGTGTGTGTGTATTTGTTCTGTTGAGAATCTAAATTATTAATGATAGTATTTGATTGTCAAGTTTTGAATGAAGCTTTCATGATACATATAATTTAGTATACAGCCACAAGGCATAATCACAGAGAAAGGCCAGTGATCTAAAGAGCAGAAGGAGAGGGGGGGGCGGTCGGTTTTCATTCCAAATTAATACATTATTTAACACAGTACCATACATTTCGATGATTGTATATTTATTAAAGTATTCTAATGCATATGTTATTTTCTCTTTATTCAGAGAAAACCAGTAAATATAACTATCACATAATCATCATCAATGTTCAAATCTGTCAGTCGTATCCATTTGTTTCCTGTGCTGTTTGTAACTGACTGCAACAACAAAGAGATGATCCACCATCCTGACACTCGCATGTCATTTATCAAAGGCACGCTCATAAGCTATGCTTGTGTAAGCCTTACTGAGGCAACGGTTATAAAACTCAATCATGTCGTGGAAAGAACATTATCACTAATGTTTAAGAACAGGTTTGATGATCCTTCTATGGTTTTGGAGTTTATCCCCAGCCACTCCTTCACTTTAACAGCAAGCGCTGAGCCTAAAGCAGCGGACACTTCAGAGAAGTGCATCTCAAGTGGTCTGAAAGCAGTGTTGATCTAAAAAATATTGCATTGGATCAAGGTGACCACAAAACACACTGTAAAGCTCACATGTCATGCTTTTCCGGTTATTACCCGTCCCTTGTGTGTTATGAAGGTTTTTTGCATGTAAACGGTTGTGCAGAGTCAAAACCCTCAAAGTACACTCTGTCGCGAGTAAAACTCTAAAACAGAAAATACCTCCCCAAAACGCCTCGTTGGTGAACGTCCTCATGACGTCATCATCCCATTTGATTCTTCCGGGTACTTACGTATAGCCCTGCTGATTTCTGCTCCCTGCTGCAGGCTGATAACAGACAGTTGGGATTGCGCGAAATTCTCTCTGCAGACCCATTCTCACGGCGTTTATCAACATATAAACATTTTTCTTACTCAATATCAAGCCACACTTATTGTTTTTATTTCGGCTGTGACTTTGTGTGTGTTCAGGTTGAGTTTGGCTGTGTATCGCTAAACAAGGAAATCACGGAGGGGGGAGGGGGGAGGGGGAGGAGCTGCAGTGAGCCGTTTAGTGGAGAAAGTGAATACTGCTGAATACACATACTTTACAAAGATGCTGTATGCGAAGCCAATGTGATTTTGCAAAATTGCACAGTATTTTTCTATTTTAGTATACCTCAACAATGGAATTATGATCAGTGGAAATGGCGATGACATGTGACCTTTAACTTTTCTTCAACTCCATTTCTCCAAACTTAATTTGAACCATAATGATGCTTATGGTACCAAAGCTTTAACCATCCTAAAATAAATATATCTTTGTGGAACCTGAACAAATCATCTTGGACTTCAGTCTCGACTACAGTCAGAGTCTAAGCTTGTTCGCTGCCCTCTAGTGGACACAGATGTTAAATGTTAATGTGTGTGTGTATACCATATAACCCCCCTCTTCCTCTCTCTGCCTGCAGTGGACTGCATCGACCCCAGCTGCTCGGCTCACGGTGTGTGTATTCACGGAGAGTGTCACTGTCAGCCGGGCTGGGGGGGGGCCAGCTGTGAGATAGCTAAGGCCATGTGTCCTGATCAGTGCTCGGGCCACGGCACTCACAACGCAGAGACCAGCACCTGCAGCTGCGACCAGAACTGGACCGGGCCCGACTGCTCTCTAGGTGTGTTACGCGTTCAATGTCTGTCAGTGTGAAGGAGCTCTTTCCATTTGGCTCATTTCTTATGACATCTACATAGATACTTTATTCAGCCACAATTGCAAAAACATTTTTGTCCCAGCAGCAGCATTGTTTAGCATTACACAACTTACACATATTTAAAAGATACAATAAGATCAAATGTAATACAAATACAAATGTGAAATTAACATTAGCAGCAAACATACTCCTTCACAATAGAAAGGACATATATCACTAGAGTAAATCAATAAAACACAACATAACGTAAACAATTGAATAAATTGAGTACTCAATATTACACTATACAATCTCGCAAAGCCACAGAAACAGTGGGGTAACTATCGACAGTGCAGCCGGTGCAACTCACCGGGGCCCAGAGCCGGCCAGGGGCCCATGCTAAAAAATATATAATCTTTTTTATTATATATAGATTTTTTTTGTGGGCCCCAATGGCATTGACCGGTTCGCGCAGTCTTCAAAGTGACCAAGCAACATAAATGTATTTGTAATTTGTCTGTCCAATGACCTTGCTCCCTTTCATGTCATTTGATACCTTGCGTGACGAGTGAATCATTTAATCAACCTCAAAAGTTATAGGTACTGTAGCTTGCAGCAGCAATTTCGGCAACATTATAAAAAATTGAATAGCTTGCATTTATAATGTACAGCAAACCAAAGCACAAGAGCGGCGCTCAAAAGAGAAAGGACAAAAGAGAACAAGGAGATGTAACAGCTAAACTGACAAAATTAGACCGTTTTTTTTGTCATACATCGTCCTCGAAATCTCGATTATGTGTGATTTGTTCGCTGTGCCGTTGTCAGGCTGTGGTGGTCTGAGGCCGGGGCAGGCTGTTGTTGATAGCCTACATGTGGCGCTTATGAGTGGTTGTGTGTGTCCGTGCGTGTGTGAGCACATCAGCCTGCGCTTATGTTTTGGGCGATGGGGGGGGGCCCAAAACAATATTTGCACCATGGCCAATCACAACCTTGTTACGCCACTGCACAGAAATATATAGAAATATACTACAATGATACACATGTTTTAAGCATTTGTTTGAGCAGCATCCCTCCTAATTTAAAATAGTTGATATAGTGATTTACAGAATCATTGAGAGTATAAGGAGAAGCAGGATCTGTGCTAAATAAAACAAAACAGAACATAATTAAGAGAACAGTGTTCATTGTGCGAGTCCCTAGGAACAGCCATAAAGATGGCAGAGATGGCTGGTGAAACAACTGAAGACTTCAGGCGAAGACGATTTGACAAGAACATAATTCTAAGGTGTGATATAAAGAACTAAAGTGTTATAGCTGGGCCAGGAAAACCTTGCTTGAGGACATCAAACTTCCACTTGTGAGTAGGTGCAAGGTCAGAGACAGCGCTGGGGTCTGAAACACGTTAAGGCCAGTTACATCCTTAACATCTCCACATCCATTTATAAACTAACCTGCAGCCAATGAAGCCAACATAGGAGTATTATGGGCTCAAGATGACTTACAGTGTGTGCCCCCTGCTGTGGTCGCTGCTCCTCTCCACAGAGGAAGAGCCAGCACAACAGTCTGGCTGATGCATGTTGAAGGTCTTTGTAGATGAGTTAGATCAAATGGTTCTTTTTCAAGGGAAGCAATACTAGAAGCTAACTGAGAATCCGTTTAAAAACCATAACTTACAAACTAATCAGATGAGGGATTGAAGTGCAGGGGGTGAGGTGGGCAGGGCTAATGGGCGACAGGTGAAACTAATAAGGCCATGACAGACTGTCTAAAGAGGCTGGAAAACACGGAGAGAGGAAGGAGCTGATTGGCTGGAAGACCAATGACACTGATTCAGAGGAGGTGTATAGATGGGCAGCACAGAAACACAAAGCAAAAAGTAGAACCAGCAGGCTTGGGGAGTAACGGATTACATGTGACGAGATTATGTGAAAGAAGTAATCAGATTACTAGATTTTGATATGAAATATCTTAGTTACTTCATTTCTAAGGTTACATTGTTACATACACTTAAGTAAAACATCTAAATGTTATTTATTTTATGTTGTTTTTATTTGCATTGCATTTAATATAGAAGTAATCCAAAGGTAACAGAATGTAATCAGGTTACATTACTTTGATATTTTGAAACACAGATTAGGTCACTGATTACATTTTTGACTTGTAACTACAGCTCTGGAAAAAGTCCCCTACAGCATGATGAGTTTATCTGGTTTTATAATGTATAGGTATGTGTTTGAGTAAAATGAATAAAGTTTAACACACACTGGAATGTAATGGCTGCTATACATGTAGAGATAGAGATTTAATAAAAAAAATCATTTCAGAGCTCTAGTTATTGTAACGTATAACATTTTGTAAGTAAACCTCCAAACATTGAGTACCAGACATGACACAACATGAGAATACTTTAAGGTCAGAGAAAGATCATGGTGACGGTTAAAGGAATTCAACCTTCACCATCAGTAAGGAATGGATAACAAACAAGGAAGAAGAGAAAACACGCATCCACACTGATCTCCTCCCTGAAGGGGAAAAGTCACAGTATTTGTGACATTAAAATATGTTGCATATGTTTTCCGTCTTGGCTGCTCTGATATGAGTCATAATGTACACTGCTATAAGAGGTTGCTTGTCGGTAAACGTTTGCATAAGTTGTTTTTTGGTTGTTTGAACCAATGGTCAGTGTTATCTTTGTCCTGCAAAGGACCGTCTCTTATTCGGTGGTGTGGGGCTGCAGAGGGGAAGATAATGAGAGGGAGAGAAACTGAGAAGGAGAAGACAAGTGACAGCATTGGAGCTGAAAAGGAGGAGGGATAGAGAAAGTTGGAGGAGGAATGCAGATCAGTAGCATATGGCTTGACATAAAAACAAAGACCAGGAAAGCAGTTTGTGTGTGTGTTCTCACTTCTATTTGTGTTGCCGTTTATGAAGAGCCGTGTAGGCCAACATTCAAACTAACCTCGCACACACACGACTGAAAACATCTGGCCTTGCACACACACTACTGAAATACTCTCACATTCACTAATGAACACCTCACACACACACAACTGTGTGAGGTTAATTTTCAGTAGTAAGTGTGTGAGGTTTAATTTTCAGTTGTATGTGTGTGAGGTGTTCAGTAGTGAATGTGAGAGTATTTCAGAGTAGTGTGTGTGCAAGACCAGATGTTTTCAGTAGTGTGTGTCATAGCCATTGGCTAAGAATTGTCTTGTTAAAACTAATAAACACACATCCTGTTCAGTATCCTACTTCCGCACTATAAAACACATATGCATACAAATACAAATATACTACACACATGTATGTTCCCTTTGTCCTGGCCTGTTCTTTATCTTGTTATTTGTCTTAAACATGCAAACACACTCACAACCACACACTCAGATTGGTACAACCCTGACAGTAGTGATGTTTTAAAATCCATTTATATAGTTTTGTCTATAACGCTTCTTTAGAATGCTTTTCAATGTACAGTATTGGTGTTCCCCAAAGTAATCGATGCAGGCCGTACTGCAGGTACCATTAAACTTGTTTGCATGTGCATTGATGTTTTCTTTCTTTCTCCTGCAGAGGTGTGTGAAGTGGACTGTGGCAGCCATGGTGTGTGTTACGGTGGTGTGTGTCGATGCGAGGAGGGCTGGACAGGAAGTGTGTGTGACCAGAAGGCCTGCCACCCACTGTGCAGCAAGAACGGAGTGTGTAAGGAGGGCAAGTGTGAGTGCGACCAAGGATGGACAGGGGAGCACTGCAATATTGGTGAGTAGATCATTCACACACACACACACACACACACACACACACACACACACACACACACACACACACACACACACACACACACACACACACACAACTTAGATGTCACTCAGTATGCACACACATGGAGTTTATTCCACCACATGCTAGCATTTGACTTGTCACTGGTTTCTGGATGGATGTGTTTTCCTTTGGGAATCCAGATTGCACTGTAAAGGGAATACAGTTCAACTATAATCGAGCATTGCTTGATGACTCACTTCCTTTAGTTTTCAGTTTTCCACGGTTACATGGCTGATCATCACCACCACTAAACTAAAGGTGGCACATTTTTTTAGCATGATGATTTTTAGTGGTTGCATTAAGTCACGTGTTTGCAACCTCTGTTTTTATAGAAACTTCAGACATTCAAACGTGGGGTATTTAATGCAGGCTATTTACTGTGAGGTATTTACTGTGTACACACCTTCAAGAAACCTACAAAACAGACAGTTTGTTAGTGGATGCACCAACCCTTCTTCAGTGATAGGACTGTCTGAACCCATGACAGATATATTACAGTGTCTGTTCTTTATAGCTGCTGCAAGAATGTGATAAGTGGAAATGTTGCTGCTAATTACATGGGTATGCCAGTTTGTATTGATTATCAATGTCTTCCAATAACACGCGAGCTACGACAGTTTCAATGGTAAAAAGGAGATCCAGGTTGTGTTCATAATCACTCAAGCTTGAAACAAGTGAAAACAAGGATAATCCTGGGTTTGTTGATAGGAAGCAACACTTTGTAATGTTGTTATAAACAGTGGTGAGCCGTGACTTTTATAACTAGGCCCTCTGACCCCCCCCTTCCCTCAAAAAAGAAACAAAAAGGAAGAGTTATTACGTATACTTATACAGCGTATACTTCAGCGGAATATCAAAATAGCGGCCCGGGGTGCAAAACGCATCAATGACAGCGACCCTCTACCACACAAAACAACACAATTTATATAAACACCATGACAGGGCACCCACAGCCAAGTAACAATTAGGTAGTCAGGTAGGTAGGTAGGTAGGTAGGTAGGTAGACAGACAGGTAGATAGACGGACAGATAGATAGATAGATAGATAGATAGATGGATGTCATATATAGATAGATACTTCATTCATCCCAAATTGTGAAATGTGTGGAAACAAGTATAAACATAAAAAGATTAAATACAAATGAAAGCAATAGACGGGAATATATGCATATACAGTAGAAAGGACACAATGAATATTATAACATTTAATGTAGCCTTACTATGAAGGCTGACCTAAATACGGTGCTTTTCTACAGATTACTTTATTACTGCACTGGTAAGGTAAAATTAGGCCGATTGACAAGATGTGAAGTGCTTTGTAACTTTTACCCGCTTGACTGAATACACAACAAACAATGAAGAAAGAGTTTTATCTGGGCTGCTTTGCTGCCAGCTGTTCCCCCGGGACCCGAAAGTGGCGTAGCCTGTACTTCAACGAAAGTGCTCGATATATGCTATATTGAACCAATAAACTAACACAAATGAACTGTATCACTATAACATGATGATGATGATGATGATGATGATGATGATGATGATGATGATGATGATGGTGATAAAGAATGCATCTAACGTTCCGCTGTTCATTATAATAAAAAAACAGAGCATTAAACAAACCATCATGCTCTTACTTTGAAATCATGCGGAAATGTCGTCAACAGCAGGCCATCACGTGGTTTCCGAAAATAACCGAGTGACACGAGTAGATTTTAGCCGAGACCGGCGGTAAATATGTCTCAAAATTCAAACAAAATGGATTCACAAATGCCTGATCGAAAGTTGTAAATGTGAAAGAGATATTCACAGATCTTTTTTTTATTTGTGAAACTATTTAGCATATTTGCAGATCCGTTTTACGCTTGCAAATGTATTTGTGAGTTGGCAAATCTTTTAAATGCATTTGTGGATGGTGTTTTACATTTACAAATCACATATTTACACACAAATAATTTTTATGTTCACACAAATAATAATGAGACATATATATGCCCATACGTTTTCCACAGAACTTATTTCCAGCTATTTTCCAAAATTCTATGGAGAAATCCCAATGCTTTTGTGTCGAGGGAACCTGGGCGCAGATTACTTCCGGGTTTTAGGACGCGTCACTGCACCACTTGCATAAACCTCACAGCGGGCGGAACTTGTCATAAAGTCAGCGGAAATAAAGCCCACCCATTTAGAGGGAAGATATGATTGGTCAATTGCACTGTCATTTGACATTACTCTCTCGTGGAGTTACTATAGAGTGGCGAAGTCACGCCCATCTACTTCCGGTCCATGGGATCTGATTTCGGAAAAATTATGCATTGAAGTCAATGAAGAGAGAAAACCTATCTTTAGATCCCCTTTGAATTGTGCCATGAATTACACATATGATGTTTGTGAATCTTAAAAAATCATTTCCATGCAAAAAAAGTCACAGTTTGTCGTAAAACTGTTGAAATATAAGACTATGAAAAATATGCAACTAGAAAGACTAGAAATCCCAGAGTCGCGTAAGTGATGTCACAATTGTTTTCCTCCACTAACATACCTGCCAACCCTACCGATTTGGGCGGTAGTCTACCGCTTTTGACATGTTTCTACCGCCTACCGACTTAGCTGGCTTTCCCTACCGATTTTCAATCTTCCCAAACTATAACAAATAAAAATGACACTACATAGGCACTGGACTCGACTTTTTGGGCGGACACCGTTAGCAGCGTGTCTGTGATCGCATCATACAAACAGTCCTCTGTGTTTCTGAAAGAGAAACAACGTGCAGACCGAGCGTAACGCTGCCTTTCCTCTGCACCCGGGCCCCGGGGCTGATGGGTAATCACTCCCAAATTAAGGGAACAGAGACAAGGCATTTGAGTCCTGCAGGATTTCCCCGTTAATATCAGTGTCTCGAAAACACATGTTGGCGACTGAAAGACTTCCAGTGTTTGGTCTTTTCCAGAAGCATCCTTCACCTACAGTGTCTCAACTGAAAGAGGACCACAAACACACACAAAATATGATACAATTTTGAGATTTGGGGATATTTATCTCCCATTCTTTCACTTTTTCTGACATTTTCAACACCAAACATGTCGTTAATGTCTCTGTTTAGTGAACTACAGCAACCTGGAAAGGCCATGTACATCTATTTATATCCTGAAAGCTGTACTTATATCTCAGTTAGAGAAAATGTAGGACATTTACTTTTTTTTTATTTTTCTGATTTATGGCGCAACACCAAAGATATTGTCCCTTCGCTCTGTGCAAACCTGTTGGACTCTAATATGTCAACAACATGAAAACAAGAATATGAACCTGGCTTTATCCAATGTTCCACAGAAGTTTCCTACCATTCCTGGACACATCCTTCATCTACACTGTCTCAACTGAAAGGGAACCAGAAACCACATTACAGAATATAATAAAATGTGAACGACTTCGGGATATTTGTCTCCCATTCTTTTACTTTTCGCGGCATTTTACAGACCAGACATGTCGTTGCATGTCACTGTTTACCAACAACTACCACTTTTTCGGAAAAATGGCATAAAATGGATGCAATATATGTTAAATACATGGGTTATACCTGTAATTACTGGGGTTCCATTTCTTCTGATTACCTAATTTGGGCCATGGCACATTTGACCGCGCGCAAACCTACTCTTTGGATTTGGACAAGGTTTTGGCATGTATGCACTAAGAGAGAAGCTAGAATCAGCGCCAGATAGATAGAATTATTATCTATATGACGCTGGCTAAGATAAGATAACTTTAACAAGATGCCTGTGTGCTTAAGTAACCCAGGTTGTTATTTTATCATACCGCCAATGGGGTTCTTGCTCGTTTCCTTTCGCTTCCCGTCTGATGAAAGGACCAGGAGTGGGCTGGATCAAGTTAGGCTACCTAGCTAGTATCTAGCATGTTAGTTAGCATTACAGCCTTGTCCTTTTTAGTAGTTGTCACATTTCGTTGGAACCCTTTGAAGAGTCCCTGTCACCGGTGTGATAACTTCTAAATACACCTGATTTTAAAAAAAAGGCCCGGGGGAGAATGCGTAACGCGTACATTAGCATCTGCGATCCTTTTCTACTTCGCGGCTATCTGCACAATTCAAAGGCAGGCAGGAGGCAGGCAGGCAGGGCCAGGCAGGCAGGCAGGCAGGCCAGGCAGGCAGGGCAGGCAGGCAGCTTTGCATGACCATTTCTTCTGGGACGTGCTTTCATTTGTGGTGTATAGTTGAGGGATCGACAAATCCTTTTGTTGACCAAGGGGACAGTTCGAGTGAGAGACGTTGATGTATGGAATACCATAATTTATTACTGGGACACGTTCATATAAATGAAATAATGATTGCCAGAATGAGGACAGGAGAAATGGAATGGTGTTTGGTGATTAGGCGCCCGGTTTGAAGGATTAATCATTCAGGAGGGGGAAGAACCGCTCCGGAGAGCACTCCGGTCTAGACACTGGTTGGTGGTGATAAGGTAGGTGGGACCGGTCTGAAGGAGAAGGATTAGCTTGGGTCCTGTTAGCGAGACGGGAGGCGAAAGGGGGTGGAGGAGGGTTGCGTATTGTCACCTGAAATGACAGCTGACAAGAGGGAAGAGCAGATATAAAGGGATTAGCGTGTGCAACGATAGGCTTGTGAGAATGGAGAGAGGAGTGATTGGTTAGCTGGGGAGTGACGCCCCCGATCACTTAATGAGGGAGGAGAGGGTAAAGAAGTGACGTGGAATATGAATGAAGAGCTTGGTCTTCCTGCTTGAACTTGCGCTAAGCTTCATTAGTGACCAGTGTTGGGCAAGTTACTTCCAAAATGTAATATATTACATATTACTTATTACTGTCTTTTGAAAGTAATAAGTTACATTACAATATTACTGTCTCTGAAATGTAATGAGTTACACTACTTTTTAGTTACCACCTGACACAATTTGTTGTTTGTATTTTTCGCTCCGTTCAATTTTTTTAATGGTTGCATAACATTCAACTGCCCCAAAGATCCCGACGCGAAGCCTGAAGGGTAAACACCAGGTTTACTAATCTACCCGCACAATTTGTCTCGGGTGTCGGAATGTCTCGCTTTGTTAGTATATTCTTAAAAAACAAAACACCATTTCATTTTGGGTTAAAATGTGTTGTAAGTGCGTTACTGAGCATTGTAACGGGTAATACATTACCCACATTTCATTAGTAATGCGTTACATTACTTCGTTACAGCAAAGAGTAATATATTACTGTAACTCCGTTACTTTTGTAACGCGTTACACCCAACACTGGTAGTGACGGCCATGCTGGTAACGTGTGTTGTTCTGCGAGACCGGAGATGTAGTTCATTCAGCGTTTCACACAAACAAATGTGTTACTTTACAGTTTTACGACACTTCAAACGGGATCGAAAGATAATCTTTCCCGAAATAAGGTCCCATGGAGGTCCCCCGGAAGGGGAGAGACTTCGTCACTCTACATTACATTGCATTTAGCTGACGCTTTTATCCAAAGCGACTCACAATAACTGTGTTCGACCAACAAAATACAAACTTGAAGAAAAGAGAATCATATAAGTACATCAGGTTTCATAGAGCTAAAACATTTCAAGTGCTACTCAACTGGCTTTAGATAAGCCAGTCCTTTATTAGTATATACGTTTTTTGTTAATAGTTCTATCGCTCGAAGTGGAGTCGAAAGAGATGAGTTTTCAGTCTGGATTTCATTCAGCTCTATAAGCTGAGCCCTCAGTGAATTTACAGCAGGACCACCAATCAGTTCCTGTCCTCACATAACTCGCAGAGACGAGCTTCTTTCATTTAACCCTTCACATTCAAACAGAAACTGAACAGGCAGATTCGAAGGACTTATTTATTTGGAAATGTTATTTTAAATACAATTAAATCAAGTTATTTTGGTAAAACTAATGAAAAATATCACTTAAAAAATAATTTTTTTTTTTTTTATGTTTTCAAATATTATTTTTTTGAATATCTTAGTGCCCTGACAACTCGCCACTGGTTATGAGTGCCTGTAACTGTTGCTTCAAAATTGATATTAATACAACCTTACAATGAAAGGTTAGTCTCAAACTCACTATCCTCTTAGCTCCCAGCTCCTCAGCCAGGATATTTTGATCTGCTTAATGCAGTGACTGCTGTTTGCTGCTGGGCTGGTCATGTACCATCAGAGCCTTTTCACTAAGACAGCTGCCGGCTGCTGCTTGAAACAAAGTTTATGAGAGCAGTGTTCTGAAACCAAACAGTAATGTTTTTGCTTTGAATTCAAAACAACCAGCTGACAGACAAGCGAGATTAACAGCTTTGAGGACACTATTACGGACATAAATGATGTCATAAGAAGATATTTTTTCCAGAGAAAATAAAGGTGGTGCTTTAGAATGAACGATAACATCTTTACTTTAAAAGTAAACCAGTCAAGTAGAGCTGGTTCTCAGGGTTGATAGAAGGTGCGTTGTAGCAACAGTACTGTAAAAAGGATTGTCATTTTAAGTGAGTAACCATGGCAACTTGAAAACCCCCTTCCTGCTGGGATGTAACAGTCAAACATTGAATCATGATATTGGGGCCAAGCTGACCACCAAATCAGCTGAAGTATTGCTGGGAAAGAGTTGCAAATTGGTTTGGGTTATTTAGACACACACACACACGGCACACACACACTTAGAGCATAACAACAGTGCGATGAGGGGAAATCTTCTGCTGGTCCAGCAGCTCTGCATTGGACAGACTGTCCTCTCTACCATTACATCTAGTTACGGAGACCTAACTGTAGAATTATTTCTTTCTATTTCAACATGTGCTTTTAGACTATATCATTCTAGCACTTATGAGTGCTCTCAGAGGAATACATCAGAACCTCTTTATCTGTCTTTATTTCTCTGGTCTTGTTGTTAACATTTCTACCTCTCTCTGCTCTTCACTCATTTTGATCAGATGATCACTGGCGCTGTTACTGAACTCTACTCCTGCCTATTTTTCTGGACTAAACGCTATTTTTCTATCCATCTGTTCTTCTTTTCCCTCCTCCCTTTAAGCTCACAACCCGGACATTAGAGTGAAAGGTACTGTGCTCTTTTCTCTTCTCCTCCTCATCATGCGCTTTCTTTTTCATCCTTTCTTCCTTTGCATTTCTTTATGTTCTGTGGAGCTGTGGCTGCTTCAGAGGTTCTTTTTTTCACTTTGGAGATCCCAAGTCTGTTTATTTTCCTCCCATTCTCTCTTTCATTTGGCCAGATAACATGCACTATTACTGTCGCTTTGAATATTTCATGATTTGAATATTGACTTGTTGATGTTTCAGATAAAAAAACATTAGACCTGGAAAATACATTTGTTTGACTTGTTTATTTTGGTACGTACGTACCTCCCAAGAAGCTTCACCTTTTGAAATGCTGGGATGCCTTGTAAACGAGGTGATACATCTCATGGGTTTATCCTTCTAGACTGAATCAACACTGTTTTTGTCATCAACTTGAATGCTTAGTTCTGCCTGCTAAATATTTTTATAAACCTAACTATATTAGCACTAAATTCATCTTAAGCTCAAAAATGTGAAAGAAATATAGGTCAAGATTGGACGGAGCCTCGAAATGAGGAATGCTGACCTCCACTGTTAAATTCAAATCAAATCATAAAACAGGGCAGTGATCCAGTTTCTAGTATGTTGTTTGATGAAACTTAACAGAACCGGTACCAAAGATAATTTACTTATCCCCTTGCATATTCCGTGGGTTTGACATTTGAATAGTGGACATTCTTAGCGGCTTGGGATAGTCAACACATAATCTTACTTTTAAAGACAAGCTGAGAACAAGCAGAGAAATATAATATAGAGGTTTCTGATGCAGACGTGCCTCAGGCTTAGTTCTCCTGTAAGCTGCTTCTGTCTCTGCACACAGGCGTACTGTGACATGTGTGTGAATGGATTTAAAACCATCATCCGACTCAAACAGTCGGCTTTTGTACTAAAGATGTCAGTCATATGTGTTTTTTATAGGACATTTTAGTAATTGAAAGTATTTACACAATTGCAAAAAAATGGTTATGCACTTTGACAGTATTAAAGCTGATTTGAAGCTTTTTGTATATTCACGATAAAGAGCTTGCTCAGAGGCACAGTATTATTGGGAAATAAACACATGTTTTCTTCTTTCACCTCATGTTCTGGATTCATGCAGTTCCAGTTCTATAAGCTAGTCAAGGTTTGGGCTAGATTCCAAAAGGATATCTTCATAATTGACCTTCTTTATTGCAATGCATCCTGCTCATAAGTGCTTTACATGTTGATAGCATTACTGAGATAAATGTCACTACTTTGCAAAGGACTTTTCTAAGCCTAGCTTTGTCAACTGTTCAGGATAAAGAAGACATGATACTATTTCAATACTGTATCACCTGACACATCATTTAGATTTAAAGATTTGACAAAAGCCCAAAATAGGTTCAATTCTAGTGGTTCAAATATCCATGTTTGCACCACTAATCGTCCTTTTGAGATTGTTGAAATTGTGGTCAAGAAAAGAAGAAGTTGAGCTCAATGGGATTTCACCTGGTTAAATAAAGGCTACAAAAAAAACAAATGATTTTGTGAATGGTGTAACATCACAAGCTCTATTAATTTTGATTTTATTTAATTTCTTTAAGCTGCCTTTTGTACCTTAACCTATTGTGTGATTTAAAAGTCAATGAAGACAGGTGTACATGGAGTGATAATGTTTACTGTGTGGAGGTTCTGCTGCTGTGTCTCTGTGTCATTCCCCCACCCCGCAGATCCCAGCTCTTTTTCCTCTCCTCTTTCTTTGGCTGCCATTTCCATCGGTCCATCACAGAGAGTATATTTGGCATTGCTGCTTTTGTTTCGATTTACTTTTTTCCCTAATTTTCCTCCCTCTCTTCCTCGTGCCCTCTCCTATTCTCAGGATATAAAGGTAAATCATGCCAAAGATTTAATAAAGGCTTCACTGTCCCAAAGTACAAGCACCTCACACTCTGCTTTGTCAACTCAAGCTTCCTTTGATTCTGATTTATTCCATTCCATTTGATTTTTCCTGTATTTCTGTATTTAAATGCTCAGTGTTTTGTATTATCTTCTTGGTTTTCTGCCACATCATTTTGTTCCTGTCACTGATTTGAACACACAAAGCGCAGACATACAGATGAAGATACACGCAACATACTCAACAAAATGGAAATGCTCGCACGCACACAAACAAGCAGACACAAAGCTGAAGTGTGAACCCTGTTGTCTTGCATCCAGCCTGATATGAATGTTTGTGTGAAGTAAACCAGCTGCTGTTCCTCTGTCTATCCCCACCTTCCTGTCTCCATCTTATTTGTCATCTTTCCCCCTCCTTTCCACCTCCCCTCCATCTCTCCCTCCATGCCTCGTCCTGTCTCTCCAGCTGGGCTTTGCTTGGTCCCGACACTCACCGTTCTTTTATCAGATTGCCGGCCTCACAGGCATAAAGTATAGTGTTGGGAGGCATGCAGTCCTCCCTATACTTTCTGTGCTCTGTACCTGTGTATCTGTCTCCCTGTTGTGTTTTCACATGGATTTTAACCTGTGGTCTGTTTAGTATGTTTCGGATTAATTGAACAAGATTAAAGGAATCCATATTTCTGAAACAGAAAGGGCTTCCTTTTTAACCCTCCTGTCGTGTTGGGTCAAATCTGACCGATTAACTACTTTCATTAATCATAAATATTGTGTTTTACATTTGATCTCTTCAAGGTCTCATGCTATCCTCCACAGTAGACCTTTGAACATATAAAATACTGATCACCACTTTCATTTCATTTTGAGTGGTTTAGTCAACTTTGTAACGCCTATAGTGTTCCCTGTCAAAAATGACCTCCATATGAAATGAATGGGTAACTCTAGAATATGTTCATCCATCAGATAGTACACACATATATCGATAAAATGTAGATTTTTTTTTGGTGATGATTAAGGGTTTATTTGTTAACGTAAGAGCAGTTAAAACAGACCTCAAATCTAAAATCAAATCTGACAAGGCATACCAAAGTAATGGGGAGAAACGAAGACGACAGGAGGGTTCAAAGAAGCTGGGATCATTGTCAGCGAGCTGGTTGTTATATTCTCCTTAGATCATGGTTTGACTTCATTTGGACGGACATCTTTAAAATTGATACCATTTTCAGAAGGTTCTGCTTTCAACTTCAGCGTCTTCTTTGTTTGTTTACCCTGTTTTTCATCCCCATATTATGCAACAATAACACATTTCTTTGTTTACAGAGGGAAAAAATGATTTTGAATTGATTTCTGATTGAAGCCAAGCAGGACACAGTAACCATTTTGGCTGTAGGCGCTCTTAGTGGTTCATGTGAAACTACAACGTGCATTTCACCGAGGGCTGACTCTGTCTGTCTGTCAGTCTGTGTCTCACATGTGGGTCAATGTGTGGATCTGTCTTATTCGTTTATCAATCTGTCTTTCAGTCTGTCAATTCATCTGTTAGAGAACGTTTTATCACACAGGGCCAAAACACCTTTACACATCAGGATTGAACTAATATTTGGGGGTGGTGGTGTATTTGGACTGGAGCTAGCATTCTGTTTGGATACAAATAAAAACTCATGCCAAAAGACAAGGATTGAGTTTTTCCTTGTTTAGTCTTTTGAGGTGGGAAAGCTTCTGAAACAGCATGCAGACCTTTACATGGGGTAATACATCTCTTATAATAATGTAAACTGAGGTCTTATCCGAAAAGTTGTTCAGGTGACTACAGATTACATTTTTCGTCAACAGCTGAGATAAGCTTGATTATTTCCAAATAACTCTAATCTTAACACACACTCACACACCACTTACAAAATCAATTGTGCTGTTTAGTTGGCACAGACGTTCATGATTCTTGAAGAAAGCCCAATAAACTCCCAGTGCAAAAGCTCCACAAATTACCAAAAAAACAAGTACCGGTAGACATGATGGTTATATTGATGATAATGAAATGAAGCTGTTCCGAAGAGTTAGACTTCTCCAATAGAAGTTAGACATTTGCACAAAAATGAAGACTGACATGTTAAGCATTTATGTCCAGATGTCTCTCAACATGTGTTCAGACAGAAAGCCTTGCATCATTTGATAAATAAAGGCTACAAACAATTTGCAAGAATTGACTGCTGAACAGCTTGTGTTGATTGGCCACAAACAGCCACTGTACCAACTCCCCAGATGTTAGCTGTGAAATGGCCAACAGCGGACACACCGACTGTGTGTGAGGCAGTGTGTGTTCAGCTCAGATCCTTTAGTTATTCTCATTATTCCTCTCTGCTTTTTCCATATTTTCTGTACGTTTATGAGATACATAACGCTCCAGGAGTTATGTGAATTCTTCAAAAAATAAAGGTTAGGGTTAACCCAAATTGTGTCTAATTATGGAATTTTTCCATTGACTTTACAATTGCAGCATCTGTAAATGTTGATGTTCTGCCACAATATTAGACTCAGTTGTTTGTGACACGTGTGTCTATAGAACAGATATGCTCTAGTTGTTATCAGTGAGACTTCAGAATCAGAATACCTTTAATAGTCCCACAGAGGGGACATTTACGTAGTTACAGCAGAAGAAAGAGCCACAGCTTAATGTTACATATGTTACATGCATTAAAAAGTACTAAGTTATGATGGAATAACAAATATAATAAAGAAATAAAAGGTTACATAATTATCAAAATACACATCCTTTAACAGTTCTTAGGATTTAGCAGCCAGGTATATATGGCAGAGTTTTAACGGCATATATATGAGGCAATGTAATAGCTAACGTCTCATACGTGATCCTAACCATATTTTTGCAATTCAATGACTTTTGAAACACTTCCATTGCACAGCAGTACCTGCAGCTGCTGGGTCGCTTACACTACATTGTAGAAAATTGTTTATTTTAACCAAAATGTGAGACACATTAACCCTACTTATATAAGATATAAGATATTAAAATGTGTACCTTTTGGGGGAAATACAGTGGAGGAAATAAATGTTTGATCACTTGCAGATTTAGTAAGTTAGCCCACTTACAAAGAAATGAACAGTCTATACTTTTAATGCTGAGTTTCTTACTCGTCCTGTGATGGTCTCAGTGCTGTTTCAGAGGCTCAGATGATGATGCATTTCTGCAGTGAAAATATAAAACACATTGTTAAAGCTCATCTTTCAGTACAATACCATCATCAACACATGCCTTTGATATTGGTTGAAGCCTAGTTGGAACCTGATGGCCAGCAACGCCCTCCCCCCTCCACTCTAACTTCTCTAACTGTGTGTTTGCCCCCGCTCAGAGGGGTGTCCCGGCCTCTGCAACAACAACGGACGCTGCACTCTGGAGGCCAGTGGATGGCACTGCATCTGCCAATCAGGGTGGAGAGGGGCCGGGTGTCACGTAGCCATGGAAACACTCTGTACGGATGGCAAGGACAACGAAGGAGGTATGTGGTGTGTGATTGATGGTCTGACATGGGGTAAAAACAAAGACAACAAAAATCTGGACGTCGCAAGAACTTTCTTTACTGTCCCACCATTGTGCAATCGCCCACGATTTAATGTGCCCCCCCCCTGCAGATATGTAGTGACATACGGACAAAAATAATAAGCCACCTGCAGCACCAACTGAACCCATCCTCTTACTGGTGTCAAAGTAAGACAGCAAAATATAAATGACCAAATTAGCATATGTATGGTTAAGTCTGATAGATGTGCTAGTAAGCAAAAGAGGACCTACCTAACCTGTACGCTGATGTCATCTTATTTTGGGTAAATAATAAGGAACATCAGATGCAAAATCCTTTTGAAGCGCTATTCCTTTAAATACAGAGCCAGTGTGGATTCAATGCATCCTAACCAACAATGTCATGCCGGCCCTTAAAAAATAAATAATAAAAAAGGCAAAAGAATGAAATGTACTTATAGACATAGGCCAGAAATACACACATGCACAAACATGCATTGATGGAGTCATGTCAGAGAAAAAGCTGTTGGGGTTTCGGTGCTTTGCTCAAGGACACATCGGCACTGCCCAGGAGGTGAACTGGATCCTATACAGCTACATTTCATTTTGTTGGTCTGTAGAGAGACTTGAACCTGTGACCATTCCTGACCATGTGCTTCCCAAGCCACGCCCCTACTTACTGAGCTACTGCCTGCCTGAACAAAACCTTATTGATCATCGTCCAATTTATTCAACAAAAAAACTGATTTGCTCCCCCTTAACAATCCACTATAAAAGGAGCTTTACCGTTGACTATCTAAAAGAAGTGAAAATAATGCATCTTAATGATGGGCTGGCTCATCTGCTGCCTCCTGCTGAGAGCAGGTCACTGGTGGGAGCGAACCTGCAGAGGGTGTTAACGCACTGTGCACACACTGTATACACACACACACTGCTGCTCCTCAGCAATGCACAACGTTAGTGTGAACCTTGATGTGGAAGTGGAAAGGCTGAACACCAATCAGGAGCAGCCCTTTCAAGTGTAGTAAACGAGCTCCAGTGTTCAAAGGCTCCTGCAATGCTTTAAATAGAAGCTGTAGAGAAAAGGAAGCTCTGAAGCAGCAAAGTTTCAAACAAGTAACAACAATAATACTCACGCTCTCATATATTCTGGAGGAAAACCTCTGAATTCAAAACACTCCATGGAAATAGTCAAAGTAAAACCTCTTTATAGACAGCACCAAACACCTACCAAACACCAGCTATCTGCAGTTTCACCACATGAAGCATAGACCTGAGACACAGGAGTGTGTGTGTGTGTGTGTGTGTGTGTGTGTGTGTGTGTGTGTGTGTGTGTGTGTGTGTGTGTGTGTGTGTGATCCTTCAGAACGTTGGACTGAAAGAACGCTCATCCAGTTAGACATTTCATTTATGTAATTAGTCCTCATTGCCTTTGCTTTAAATCAACATTTTATTCTTGAGATGAATTTGGTGTATACTGTATATATTAGAAATGAAAAATATTATTAAAGGTGCATGAAGTTTATCAACAATATTGATGTATCCTCCTGTATATGAAATGTGAGTCATATCTAATCTTGTGTGTGTGTGTTTCAGACGGCTTGACTGACTGTATGGATCCAGACTGCTGCCTGCAGCCCTTCTGCCAGAGCCAGTTATACTGCAGAGGGTCTCCTGACCCGGGGGAGGTGCTGAGCCAGTCACCGTCCTCATTGATCCCTCAGCAGGTAAGGAGCTCCATTCAGAAATAAAGTGAAAGTAAGAACGTGACACAAATACTTGGACACAAATGCACTATTTAGGACAAGGTTTAAAAAAGTATATACTTAAAGAAGAAACAGAGTACAACAAGAACATCTCTCTTCTAAGAAGCGCAAAATGTAGCAAGAGCAAAATGCGTAAAACCTATAATTAAATAATCTGGACTATTGACTTGACAAAGGGTGTCGAAGACAATATATACAATAGGTAAGGGGACACAGGTTGCAACAATCAAGGGAAGGGCTGTCGATCTCACTGGAGGGAAAACACTCAATGGCAGGAAGCAAAGGGCTCTAAAAGAGAAAACAGCAAGTGCAATAACTGACATGAGTGACTGTCACTTAAAAAGTGAACAATGAGACATGACTTAACATAAACCTAAATCTAAACATAGACTATAAACTAAAAATGTAATATAAACCTGATAAAGAACTTAACATGAAATGATTAAATAACAAAACTTGACGTGATGTTACATAATGTTACTGGCATTTCCTTGTACGAACACACAGCACTTTTCAGTACAGCAACAGGTTCCAGTGAGGTATTAAAGGAAGCAGCATCAGTCCATCGGTTTAATTATTTTATTTCCTCAGGCTGCCAGGTCTTTCTACCAGCGCATCCATTTCCTGCTGGGTGCTGAATCCACTCACGTCATAACTGGAGACTCTCCGTTCAATAAAAGGTAATCATGTCTTCTTTAAAAAAGGATTGAATTACTTCTACAAACACTGTTTTCCTTAAAGTGGCATCATTAATAATGTGTGTTTTATTTTTGATATATTGATTGTTTGACTCTGTCTGAAAAATGGTTCTGATGTCAGATGTAACATTCATGAAATGTGATTGGAGAGAAAGATAAGGGTGCAGTCTGCAACAGATACAGATTGAAAGGCAGAGCTACACTGTAAAATGTTTGGCTGTAAAATTATAGTAAATTACTGGCTACTAGTTGCATGGATTTCACAGTAATTTACTGTAAATATTTCACAGTAATTGACTGTAAATATTTCACAGTAATTTACTCTAGATATTTTACAGTAAATTAGAATAAAAGTACAACTAAATACTGTGACTTTACAGTTGCCATGCCCATGGAATTACTGTGATATAGCAGTACAGAGCTGTGGTATTATGGTACCTTGCTGTACATAAATTACAGTATAAATTACGTAATACCTGTATGTTCACACTTTTACTGTAGAAGTAATGCAACACAGTAGCCAGTAATTTACTGTAAATATACAAATCTAAATAATACGATAATATATTGTAAATTTCACTGGGATTTTACCATAACTACATAATTCAATCAGCTCAATCAACAAAGAAAAACCAAGAAAATGCCCATTTTAACTTGTTATTACTCCATTGAAGTGCAGAGTACATTTCACAGTGTCTTGGAAATGTTGTTACGGCCCCAACCTCTACTCCGCGGTAGTGGCTCGTGCTGAGACCCGCAACATGAAAGAATACACGCAATAACCGGTACTTGGTAACAAGCATTTATTGATAATCAGCCGTTTGCTCAGACAAGCAAAATGGGAAACAAAAAGAGGTCTGGAGGACTGGCCAAAAGGAACAAACAGAAGGACGGAACCCGAGCCAGCCACACCACGGACCGTAGGACCCAGAGCTTCCCCCCCCTAACCAGAAATAAAATATAAACCCTGTGGGAAACAAAATAAAGCTGCAAAAACTGGACTACTAGGTCCTGCAGGCTAAACATAAACACATCTGCAAAAATATGGCCAACAGCTCAAAGGTATTCTAAGGAGAGTGTCTCCCGGCATTAGGATAGGCGAGTCATCCTTCTCCTCCAGCTTCTCTTTATATATACACGGCTGAGTGGAATTTGGAACACCTGGGCAGAGGCGGAGCAAGGGGCAGACCAGGTGCAGAAAACAAGGAGGGGAGCACTTAACACATACACAGACATCCAGACATGTTCATAATGGTTATGACCGATTTCTCGGACTAAAGTTACTTCAGTCTAGATTAAGGCCAAGGTAGTCGTTTTTTGTGCGCAAAACGATAGGACGAGGTTTTTTAGCACCTTACTCGAGCCGCGTCTGACTTTTGAATAGAGAAAGCTAAGGTGAAGCGTCGCTATCTTAATGATTGTAATTAACGCATGCGAAATGTGGATATTATTCCTGACCGAAATAGGATTTCGGTCAACTCATCGTGAACTTTTACAAAAATCGAGATACTTGGACTACATCGAATATACTAAGACGAAAGAAGTTCAAACATAGAACAACCAGCTTTGCGTGAATAACATGCAGCGAGCAGACCTATTTTCGCTATCGGATTTACGTTACATTAACATTTAAGTGTATAAACGTAATAAACAAACGTCATGCCAAAACAAATAGTAAAGTAAAATAAAGGGAAGTTACTAATATAAATACAAAGTACCTTTGTAAACCAAGCTTTTATCAAAAATTCTTATATAAAATATAACAAATAAAATATGTTATCCACTTTGTATAAACCATTTTATTTTGTAAAAGTAATCACTTTCCGGGTAAGGTAATACCTGTCTTATGTCCTGTAAAAATGGACGTCCAAAACCAGACGAGAATACTTGTAAGTCCTTCGTATTGTTTACACTTAACGACTTGTCTTGACTCGGTTACAAAGAAACATTGACATTTTATAATGGTACTAAAGTGTTATAAATTCGACTATTAGAAATGGTTATGTAATGACAAAATGGTGAAAATGTCAGAAATGGACATACAAGTGATTATATGATGACATCACAATTTCAAAGGTGTCACTTAGTATGTCCTAGTGTCAACTCCTAATAATGAACACGTTACAATTGCTATTCCTTAATCGGTCACATTTAAGTGTTGATATCAATTCGAGTTCGTCTACTTCGCTATTCGTTCTTTAGTGAATTAAAAAACACAATAGGGCTTACATCCCTCGCTCGCTCAAAAATAATAAAACCTTAATGACATAAGTCTGGTGGGACGACACTATTGTGTTTTTTAATTCTACTAAAAGAACCGAAAATAGCGAGAACGACCGAAATTTATAATTAAAAGGAAAGAAACCACGGTCCAACATTGAATTTAACTTTCCCCGTGGCGACGCGTACGGAATTTTAATTTGCACGTTGTATATTTAGATACATCTTTAACTTTAACAACCGCACCGACATCACAAAAGTTCCACGAAAGGACCCGTAATTAGGACTCTGCCCGAGCTTTCGGTTTTCTCCGTACCGTTAAATTTGGGGGAACAGTCGTGTAAGGAAGGTCTTTTTACCAACTGAAACTCACCTACAGACACATCTGTACAAATTGTCAAC